ATTTCTGATTTTATTTGCCATCATTGTTAATTCTCCTTGATTATTTATTTATTTATGTATATTATGATCTTTATTTATATGCATATTTTAAATCTATTCATTCATTTATTTTTCCCTTTCCTTTCTTTTCTGATTTTCTGGGTGCCAGCAGCTCTTGCTGGTAGTCCTTCAGGATGCTTCCTCTGCTCTCTCTGTACTATGTTAGACTACTTACTTTATGCATCTTGTAAAATTATAATTAAATTAAATAGTAGTCTTGATATGAGTCCTTGTTCAAGAAGCAGTGAGAGTATCCATCTTCCTTGCAATCCTGTCCTGTGTTGTTCCTGTTGTCAAGTTCATGATCATTGTTTTAATAACATTATTGTTTGTAATCTTTAAAAATACAATTTATTAATTATTTATTTAAATAAAACAATGATATCTAAGATTAAATAACTTCTCTTAGCTAGAACTAGAAGCCTGGAACCTCCACTAAGTATTGCAGTTGATCCAAGCATAGCTAGATACGAGCTAGACAAAAAAAAATTGCTTGCATTTCCCAGTCCTGAGATCTGAGCATGCGCGACCACACCCAAATTTTGGAGCAAATGTTTCTTTTAATAACAAAATGGCGGAATGAGGTAAGTTTTGACTGATGCTACAGTCATAGTGTCACTTCTTCCTTTCTTGGAGAATGAGGTGATGGGACATGGACCTGCGCATAGACTGTTGGAGTAGAATGGTGTAAGAATTAGCCTTCTAGCACCAGCCAATATTGAGCTACACACCGACAACTGGATTGACAGGAGATGATGATGATGATGATGATGATGATGATGATGATGATGATGATGATGATGATGACGACTGAACAAAACGGCCGTTTTGCCGATTTTTGACTTTCCTCTTAGACAAGGTGTAGAGCCACGCTAGTGGTACCTATGGAGTCCTCTGGTCAAGATAAGGTCCTCTGAGAAGTCTGGTAAGCATAGGAGCTTGTTTTCCCGGTATAGCAACTTAGCAAGGCTGCAAAAGTTGTGGCAGCCATATTGTTTTGGGGTGAATCCTACTTAGTAACGCTACCGCGTTACTAATATGTGCATGCCCAATGGCATATGACCACAAATTTGCCTAATTAAAATTCACCAATCACCAAAATTTAACAATTTGTCAAAATTTAATCTCTCAAAAATTTCCTGGTGTACAGTATGATAGTTGTTGATTGTCCAATGACTGTATAGATTGGGACTATAGATGTTGAAGGCACAGATGAAGAGGATATAGAGAAAGGGAGGAAGCGGGAGAAGGATTGATAGCCAGTAGTTTGTTACCAGTCACTGGTGGTGGTATGGACATATTGAGTCATGATTTACAATATTCATCATCATCAAGCAGTGAAGGAGAGGGGGAAGAGGAGGATATTACTGATATGGAAGAAGTGTAACTTTGTTTATGTATAGATATTATACTCCATTCATTTTTAACTTAATGCGTAAAAATGATAAAAAATTTTGCTCAAATAGTGATAATGATTAATATACAATAAGTTGCCTTGTGACTGATGTGTTACCAGTCAAGCAGCTGCAGATCAGACTCCTGTGAGGACTCTGTTAAGTCTAGTCTCATGTAGCCAGCCCCTCCCTCTAGTCACAACAGTCTAGTCAACAGAATCAACCCTAATTGCTGCACGAAACTCAATTTTTTAGTTAGTTTGTTGCCCTGTGGCCCGTGTATAGCCTTTAAGTCTAGTGCATTGTAAAATTCTCAATAATAATAACAAGTGAAATAGAGCCATTAAACATTCTACACAAGATTAAAATGCACTTGGAAAATTATTTTAAAGTTACCATTAATTTTAATAGATCAAGATTAAAAACACATTAATCCAACCAATGTCAATGTTGAGATTTGTATTCCCTAATTTTCCTCATCCTACAGTAATAATAATAAAACTATCATAATAATATGAAGAACATCTTATTTATATTAAATTTTCTAAAAGCTCATTATAAAAATGTAAAATAAAAAATA